AAAAAATATAGGTATAAAATATGCGCGGTTGCCTTTTTTAACAAATTTTTAGTAAGTTATAAAAAGCACGGGTATTATGTTTTTTTTAATTATTTCATTTTTTCAAAAATGTCAAGGGAATAACTGTTATTCATAAAAATCAAATAATAACAGTTATTTTTTGAGTTTTATTATAAAAATCAAAAAATAAAAATCATTACGGATTTGTAAACTACAATGGCTAATAAAAATTGTGGTGTATTTAAAAAATTTTTAGGACCCTTCTAAGTGCGTGATTTTTTTGTATGAAAAATTTACAATAACAGTTATTTTCGTTCCCTGAAAATTATCTTAAAACTGATCTGTCTTTTTTCTCCTGTGTGGTTACATAATTATTTCTTGTGGAGCACACGCCCATTATTTATATGCAGGGCCAGCTGTCGTAATTGAATGATTTTCGATCGTTTCGGCAAGTGCTTTTGCTTCCTGTAATTTTCGGCGATTTGTGCTTGGCCATCTCTTCCTTTCGGCAGTGTTCCCTTTTCGATTCTGCGATTGATTTTCGTTGGCATCCTTGAACACGTTTTGGGGCAAGTGATTTAGCCAAGTGGGGACTTGGGGACTTGGAGAGGCGGTTTACTATCAGCGGGCGGAGAGATCACGCTCCAGTGATGCGCTGCGGGTTCAACAGCCAGCCGAAAGTCGAGCGCGGAGGCCAAAGAAGAGAAATCTCTTGCAGCTTATGGCTTCCGTATGCGCCATGCCTCGCGCTCCACTGGCTACGTGGATAAGGAGATGGGGAGGGGGATGGGATGGCGGCGGAGACCCCATCTCATTCTGTTTCTCCTCTTTAGTTTAGGCTTTTGTGGCTGTTTGGCTTTCTGCAACTTCAATTACAACAGCGACAGAGGCACAGACACAAACAACAGATACAAATGTCTACTCTATTTCGCTTTGCTATACTTTGGTTTATTTATGCTGGCTCATTTTTCTGTGGCGACTACTAGGCAAAATGTCGACGACTTATAATTCGAGCAGCGTGTAAGATTTTCCTCCAGCCCTCCACTGGCTTCGGCTTCGTTCTGCTCTGGTCCGTTGGTTTCTGTTTCTGTTTCTGTTTGCCATCGCAATCAGCGGTTGGCAGTCTGGGCATTCGAGTCCAAGGCGTGGCTGGTGAATGTGCCATCATCCCCATCTTGCGAGGCACCAAGACAAGAACTACTCTGTCCATGGCCATTATATCTATCACCATCACGCGATATGTTCTCACTTGCAACCAACCTCCGACTAACCATCATTCAACGTCATTCTCAGCCATTCCCATTCCAGCCCATCGCATCAGTTGCAATTGAAGTTGGCTTCTCCATACCCGCTGCTTTTTTGCGCAATTAAAATTCCACAAATGCCTCGAAGGGAGGGGCAGGGGCAGGGGGGTTCTGCGCACCCAGAGCCATCGAAAGGAATGCAAGACTGGCGCGCATGCGCCGTCGTCCGGCGTTATTCGCATTGCAATTGTTGTTATCAGCCATGCGCCGAACCTGAAAAACTAGTTTCGATTGCCAGCTGAAGACAGAGCGGTGTGTGGCCAAACACTGAGAAGGAGAGAGAAGAAAACTGGTGTCCTAGAGTTTAGAGGGTATGATGGAATGCAGGATAATGTGGTGATAAATTGGGTTTTTAACGAAATTATTTAATTCTGAAATACATTTAATTTCTGTTTGTTTCATTTCATACAAAATGTGACTCCATAAATCAAAGTAAACATTTTTCTGAGAAAAAAATGTATTCACGTACCAAAATAATAAATACATTTGAATAATCCGAATCTTGGGACTTTCTTACGATTTTATTGGTAATGGTAAAATCTTTTCATTCATATTTGATACGAGTTCTTTAAAATCGCCAATTTAAGGAACTCATAACAAAGATTATTTTATATAATGTATATCAAGAAGCTGATACCGTTTCAAACTTCCTCTAAGCTTAAATAAACATGCATACATAGATAAACGTACATATACATTTAAAATTTATTTCACATTTGTTGAACTTTTAACTACTCAGATGGATAGTCAAGATATGGTAGTTTGACTGAACATATAACACGCAATTTTGGTTTGATAAGAAACAGCAGCTTATTATTGATTATTAAAAAAAGACTTATAACTTAGTTTTAGAAAAATAATGTATTTTAATACTTTTGTCGTTAAATCTTTTACACAGTAGTAATAAATAAAAAAAATATATATAATAAGCATCAAAAATATATAAAGTTTATACTATAAACACCCTTTTATATGACTTTATTATACAATTTCGCAAAGGAACGAGATTATATATTTTATTTTACATATTTTACAAGATACTACACCTGTCGATCAGTCTGCTCACCTGTTTTCCTGCTAGCATGCTTTTTGCGCGAATTTCATGGTTGGGAAAGCCAGTAAAAGCCTCATCCATTTGGCCAATGCCTCGGCTTTTCTTTTGTTTTCTCCCGTGGCCAAAACTGGTTGTGCCAATTTATGGCCAACATTGCCGTGACTTTGTGCACGGCTCGCGAAAGTCAAGGTAAAAGACACTGACGAAGCCAAGGGTTTCCTATCCCGCCTTCTGTTTTTTTTTCTCCTTTTTTTCGCTTATATTCTTATCTTCAATTGATAGTGTCTCTTTATTGGGAAAGGAGGAGGCGAAGGAGGGGATTCTGGCTCGCTCATTAAAATTTATGCACAGGAAACGGAAGCGCAGCAGACGACTAGCAGACACAGAGTTGCGGCGTCTCTAGGCCTCCTTGGTCGTTCCTGCGGCCCGGTGCCACTCCCTCCGCCCCTTTGTGCCACAATCTTTTAAGGCTACGCAAGCGGCGTGACAAACAGGCAGAAAGTGTCACTCAAATTGGCCGCAAAATTGAAAGTGATGACACGCCCACACAGTCACGTTGCCTTGCATAAGCAAGCAATTGAATGGGAAGTGCCGAAGAAGAGAAGGAGTTTATAAACTACACAGGCAGAAAAGTCGTATATTCAATTTGAATAATTACAAAAACATTTTTTTTAAGACTTGCACTTTTTAAAGAAAAATTTTAGTAATTATTAATTTTTATGAATGAAAAAAGTGCAAGTCTTAAATAAAAATCTTTGTAATTGTGTTAAATATTTTGATTTTATTATTGAAAATATTAAAGGAATATTAGTTGACAACATGGACTTCAAAGAAGTAAAATCTGCACTACTTTATTTTATTTTCTTCAGTGGTGATACATTTAAAAACCTGGATTTCCAATTTAATAGAAAATATTTTGCTTAAAGAACTTTAAATTTTGAACTATGTCATTTTACGAAATTTTAAGTTTTAAAAATTCTGTTTAAAATTCTGAATAAATGCCATTATATTTACTATTTTTTTCTGAGTGGAAAGGGTGTTTCCATCTTGATTGCCGTTTGTGCTAGGAGTAAATCATGAATGGTGGATGGCATTAATTGTCGTATTCATGGCTGGCACTCGTATCTATTAGATGACTGCACTTGCTGCAATGAGGGGGGGAATTATCCCTCTCTCACCATCCTAAGCCCCAACTACCCCCGCCCCACGATATCTTCACACTTGACTTGCCCGGGCCACAAAGTTCGTTCCCATGAACTTCTTTCTCTGGTGTGTGGCAATCAGACCGCTCTCTATGCATAACATTCTCCCATCCATCCAACCAAGTATCTCTTTGTGTGTGGGTTCTGCTGGCAATGACAGTTTCTTGGGCTGCCCTGAGACTTTTGTCTTTAAGCATTTCCCTCAAATAACAATTCACACACAGCTTTTCCAGCTCCCATGAGCGTGGGAGTGAGAAAGAACCCGAAACCCAAAAAATAAGAAAAAAACGAAACGAGGAAAAAACGCAGAAATCCAATCCGCTGAACTTCAAGTGCTCTTGGATTTGCTGAATAAAAAAAACAACAGCAATAATATTCCATCTAGCGCGGCCGGAAGTCGCCAAAGTGAGCAAGAAGAATTTGGCCCCCTGGGAAATTTCAGCACCACATGCAAACCTAATGTATAATTTCGAAATGTACTAATTACTCTTTCAGAATTTTGGCTTTCCCGCTGGGGACCTCCTGAAGCTTTGAAATACTTAAGAGACTTTCTCGTAATACCTTTTTTTGTAAGCCTCCTAATGGTGTCCAAAACGTCGCCTTATTTGGGCCTGGGATACTTTATTGCATCCGCTCTTTTGACTCACCTGCGTGGGTCGTAATGATGCATTTTCTATATGCATTAGTTTGATAAGGGGCTGGGATCATAAATTCTCTGATGCCGATGCCCCAAACATGTTTAGCATATTCTTTCGGACCAGAACAAACAAACGAGAAACGAACAACAAGTGGCTATCCCCAAAACATGGTGTGTGGCTTCGTAAACTCTTTCCATATTTTGTTTTTTTCTCCTTTTTTCTGTTGATTCACTTCATTTGTTTACCCCACACAGCAGATGAAGTTTCGTGGGAAATATCGCGCCAGTGCAGGCAATGAACTAATTAAAAAATATAACATTGCCCTGCCCTGGAGTTCTGGAGTTCTGAAGTCTTTTGATTGTGCAATTGAAAACCCATCCTATCGAGCTTCCTGAGCCACTTGAAGATCTTTTTTGGTTTAGTCATTTCCTACCCGAAACAGAATTTCAATTACAGCGCCGGAAAAGCGGGAAAAAGCATTTCGACAAATTGGCAAAAGACCGAACGACCGAAGTCCGGTAGCCGGTCTATGGTTTACAGTATCTATTATGTGGCATTGGTCGGAAAACAGACCAACGATCATCGACGGAACCGTCGTCGGTTTCCGTCCCTGTCCACTTCCGTCCGTTTTTATTGTTTTCGCACCTCGCCTTCCGTTCGCCTGCCAGCGGATATTCTACTTTACATAAGCGGCATTTCCTCAATTTTCCCGCTCTTTATATGATTTATTCGATTTGCCGTTTTGTTTTGCTCGCCGCTTTCTCCACAGATCAATAGGTATATTATATAGTTTGGTAATCGGTTATAGGAAATAGTGATTGCCGCAATGGATTAGAATGAAGAAGCTGCCAGCCAGAAGGCAAAGACCCAGTAACAGACACATATATTGCTCTGAGGGAATCAGTTATAAGTGATATTATCTTTTTAAAAATCACATATACTTACTGATCTCTTCCATGGGTAGAAGGTCCTTAAATGCAGTCTGCGAGGGCTCTTCATACAACTTCCGATATTCGTTTAGTAATATCTTCGATTTAAGACGCACAGGTTCTCTGAAAGCTCCTTCCTCATCGTCTTCCGTTAAGGCATTCTCCTCCTCCGTGGAACTCGGGCATTGGCCCATCAGTTGAAACAGATTCTCCTGCGATTTGAGAAGAATCTCACGTGCCTCCCGCTGCCGTTTTTCATAGTCCAGGGGACGAAGTGTCTCATCGACGGCTGAAACCAAGGCCTGTTCGATCACCAAACTCTGATCACACTCCGGCTGAACAGAGTTCCGAGGCATTTTCGATATGCAGGTCATATATAAAGAACTTACTGACTGATAGATCTTTACGGGAATAAAACTAAGGGTAAAGGTTTAGTAAGACATACCCATTACAAAATATTGACTTAACCTTTACTAACCTCTTGAAAAAGTTATTGCCTGTCTGCATTTTGGATTTTGTGCTGCTAACTATAATTTCTTGATATGTACTTAATTTTGATTAAAATGTCAGGGCAGTTTATGGTTTTTAAAGTTCTAAGAAGTCACTTTAAAATCTGGGAAAAAGTTACATTTAAAAGCTTTTATTATTTTAATGTATAAGTGGGTTTACCAAAAATAATGATTTTTCATTTCCTCGAATTTTGTATTTCTATTAAAAAACCATTAAGAAATAATAGGCTAATTTTTTTAGAAATGTCATAAAATATAAATAAATAATAACTATGAAAATATAAAATTTTTTTTTAGTGAAAAACTGGTTTATCTACTCATAAGAAATATGTATAAGTAATCAACAATATTTTTTTCATTTCATTTAAATTCAATTGATTAGTATTATTATAATTTTAACAAAATTTCAACAAAAAGAAACAGAACCCTTTAAAAATTTATCAGCATATATTTAATCTTAGATTTTTTTATAAGTATATATAGAGATGAAATTCTAAGAAGCTTGAGCCTTAAAGTGTATTTGTTTATGACCTGCCCAAATTCGAATTGTAATTGGAGTTCAAATTCCTGTTGTGACCGCTTCGAGGTCTTTTTGTTTGGATGCAGCGGCGTCAGCTGGTGGACAAGGCTGTGGACTGTGCCCCTGGTCGTGGCATGTGTCAGGTTGCGACATCTGTTGCTGTTTGTGTGCTGTGTTTGGGTTTATGTTTTACAAGGTAACAGCCGAGCAGGGAACTCGGGTCTGGTCGGTCTGGCTTATTTGTCTCACTTCCTTTACCTTTAACTACATCCCGGATGCTCCCGAAAAACCGACAGTCAAACTGCACTAAATGCAAACTTACAAAACCCAGCGACAATGAGCCACATGGAGCGAAAAAGCAGCAGCAGCAGGAAGAGCATCCAAATGTATCTCTGTATCTGTATCTGTATCTGCGTATCTATGCATCTGTGTATCTGGCCATTCATAGGAGGCACAAAAAGAAAAACCCAAATGAAATGAGCGGATGCACGGGCGGATGGAGCGCTTTGAATTTGTATATATGCCATCGCTCTCTCACTCGCCCACACACGGATGTATCTTTGTATCTATCCGGGTTCTATTTGACTACCGATGCTGATTATCGTTATCCGTTATTGTTATTGTCATAATTGTTCCGTTGCGTTTTTTGCAACAGCTGAAATTTAAATGGGGAAATTTCGGAACCATCACAAAAAATTTGTATGGAGAAAATTTTATTTTTTCGGTCTATTAGATTTCTTTTTAATTACCGGAAAGAGTAGGCCTTAAATTAAGGCACAACCTTTAGTTAAGTTTGTTCCCGTTTTTATCGAATTTTACATTTTAGTTATTTATTTAATTAACCATTTAATAAATGAAATTTAAATTAAAAGGGTTTTTGTAAACACCAACTTCTAGTGTTATTTCTAGTTATTTGATTTCCCATATTTACTGTGAAGTGACTACCATTTTTGGCCATCTGTATTTCCCTATTTACTATGAAGTAACTCCAGTTTCCCCCATTTACCCTACCTCATTAATCACATAGACGAGAAAAGTCTTTGGAAAATAAACACTTTTCGGTGATCTATGTATGGCCAGGGCCTAAACAAATGTTAGCACTAACTTCTGGCCAACAATAACAAAGAGTTTATTGCACTTGTCTGTGTGTGAATGTGAATGCGAGAAGTGTGGGGCTCATCTTCGTACCCCTTTCCACCCAAAATTTTCAACTCAGAGCATTTGTTGGGACTTAATGATGTGCTAATTGGGCAAACGTATATTTCACTTGTCAATGTGAGTTTGTCTGGGGGAATTGTGAAAGACATAAACAGAACATTAAGTCCCAAAGAGAGCGGAATTGCTCAAGACCCGTGCGGTATGCTTTTGTTTGGAATTATTTCAGAAGTGTCTGCTGGCCAAGGAGACAGGGATTAAATAAACTACAAAGTTGCAAAGTGACTTTGAAAGGCAACAAAGGAATTTTCGTTTAGGTTATTTATAAGAATTTGTAGTATTATTCTAAAATTAAAAACTAAAATCTTTGTAATTTTGTAACAAAAAACAACTTTTAATTTTAAATAACAGAAAAAAACTTTCTTTTAACTATGCTTTTAATAATACGATTCAATAAACCAAATACTAAATATATATCATGTTAATATTAACGTGTTACCTCTATTTAAAGGTATTTACTTAAGCATTCCAGTTAACCTTTCCAGTCATGCCTCAGTTAGTTATCAATGTATAGTAACTAATGACATTTTATTTTTTTATCATTATTTTCGACAGCAATAAAAACACCAATTTGTTCAGTTATAAAATTTCATTTTATATTTTCTTCAGATGCGAACTTATCAAACTAATAGGACAGCATTTTACTTCACTCATTTTTCCATTTTCTCTCAATTCTCTCGTCTAACATTTGAAGTGAGAATTGAGAGCAATCTTTGACAATATTGAAATGCAGCACCTTATGCCTAAGACTTAACTAACGAGAGCACTAGCGACTAGGCATTACAACTAGGCGAACTAGGCTAGACTAACCGAATCCTAGAGATATGTACAACCAGAGATATGGGGTGCATCGGGTGAGACACCTATGAGAGCAGGGCCATTGCTCGGGCGAGTCGCACCCGGAAGTCTCGGTAGAGCATCTTGCCGCCCACGGGAACGCGGCACAGGTACATATCGAGGCTCATCAGGCAGAGGGCCTTTCCGTTCATCGGGAACTTCTGGGGCAGTTCGGCCGTGACCTCCAGTCCCTCGGACACGGCCATATTGATGAGCCACTTCCAAACATCCGCTCGCGTCCAGTCCCGCGGATCCAGGGGCAGGCCATCGGAGCCCATCGGATGCAGCAGACTTGTGGTTCCATCATCGCCGCTCATCATCAGTCGATTGTTGTTGTCATCGGAGGAGGAGGAATGGGAGGCACTGATCATGGTGACCCCACCGCGGCACTTGTCCAGCATCTGGTAGGGATGGTGCAGGTGGCGTCTGGAGGTCGGAGTGCTGGGTCCATTGCCATTGCCCCACATATCCTGAACCGCGTTCACCTGCGAGAGGTCCAAAGGTGGCACACGTCCGGCGTACTTGGGATAGCTGGCCTCCACTTGCATTTCGCTTCCGTTCGCTTGGCTTTTGTTCTGAAAGTGGAGTAAGAATTGCTGATTAATGGATGTGAATCATATATTAGTGTATGCAGGGGCGAGAAAGCGGGGCAGTGGGGTGGTTAGTACAACGGAAATGCTTTCACAAGCTGGCAATTGTTTTAATCGCTACAACAGCAAAAGCAAGAAACAAAACAAGCATATAATATAGTATAGTACGAACAATAATAATAAAACGAAACATCATAAGTGTGATGATCCCAGCGTTAAAACGATTATGGGGTATATTAGTCATGAGGTGGTAATTTTAGGATTTTTAATATTTCATATTTATTTTCTATTCCTTATCATTTCTTTGTAAGATTTAACTTTGAGTCCAAACAAAATATTTTGTATAATTATCTCGCAGTAATTTTATTTTTAGAAACAGTTATTATTTCTAAATTCCTGAAAAAAGTACAAAGTACATTTTGTAATACAATGTAATAAATACGATATTGTAAGTGTGTCTGGTATTCGGCTGACCGTTTCGGGACTTCCTTTTCGAATTATATTTTGTTATTATTAAATCTGACCTTGTTGCCGGAATGGGCGGCGTCAGCGGATCGAGGCGGATCGCATGCGAAAGGAAGCGCTGAATAATCATTACGAAGCGGCTGTCATATCGATCGGCGGTCACATTTGAATGGGCGATGGGAGATCCGGGGGGCGGGGCAAGGGGAAAGGGGCCCGCTATATAGCCGGCATGTGGCTGACATAGCTGACATCGCTGACATAGAAACACAGGCCAAGCTTCGATTACGATTACAAACGAGATGGTCAGAGATCAGGGGAGTCCGGAGTCCGGGCCCCAGGAGGTGGGGTCGGAACAGAGTGGAGCGGAAATAATTACCAGCCCAATTGGCAGCTGCGAATGTGGCGAGCAAAACAAAGAGCCACCGAAATGGGAATATGGCAGGGGATCGGGGTAGAAAGACAGCAAGCGAAACATCCGCCGACGGATCATAAAAGGTGTCAATGCGAATGTGGGTAAGAATGGGAATGGGAATGGCAAAGGCAATGGGCATGGAAATGGCAATGGGAAGAGAAGCCAGCGGAAGCCCAGCGACGAGATTTCAAGCTACCCGAAAGGGAACCCTAATAGTTTTCCGGAATAACAACTCCAGGGAGCTTCCGTTTAAGGAAATGCGTAAGGAGTCGCAGCGGTTTTAATTACACAGTTCGTTGCCAGCTCAAAAGAAATTCCCACGAAATGTTATTCGCACAGAGAAGAGGAAATGGATAATATTTTTATCAGAATTTCGGAAAAAATCACTAATATTAAAAATCATTTCCTTTAAAATTTCATATACTCATTTATTTCTTAGCCCAAAAATAATAAAAAATAAATAAAAAAATAATAATAAGTGACAAACAGGCAGGGCAATGAACCCCAGAATGCAGGTGGAATAAATGGAACCCTTATCGAATCCCAAGTTAAGATTAATCAAATAAAAACACCTCTTAACGAGGTAAAAAACTAGTGACGACCGCACCTTCAACATACAAAAGTTCTGATATCAACATTTGTGACGAAAAATTATTACACTCGTCATTAAATAGACTTTCTAATATTTTCTCATTCGGCCCGCCCTAGCAAACTATTCCAGCATTTTTCCCTTCACAGGCATTTTCTATTGCAGCGTGCCGAATGAGAAAATATTAGAAAGTCTATTTAATGACGAGTGTAATAATTTTTCGTCACAAATGTTGATATCAGAACTTTTGTATGTTGAAGGTGCGGTCGTCACTAGTTTTTTACCTCGTTAAGAGGTGTTTTTATTTGATATCAGAAGTTTTTGTTTGTTTACATTTGCTCTCATAGGAGCTAATATATACATTTAAATTTAAATTGGTCAATCATAATTTTTAAACTATTGTATTTTAACAAATTAAGTTAAAAAGGCGTTGAAGTATTTCAAAATACCTTTTAAACGAGGTATGGCACATGTCTGTACCTTTAGTAGTGTAGAACTTACAAACTAACGAAATTTAGCTATTTTTAGCTTTTTCCCGCTAAAGTAGCGGCTTTTTTTAAAAGTCGTAGAACAAAAGATTCCTATATGGAACTCTTAAGTGCAAATTTACTGATTCCATGACCCTAAAATACAGTTCGGATACCCTCCCACAAAATTCAATACTCAGGGAGCGTTAATTGTTCGAGCTGGCAAAAGTGGCTATTTTCGTATAAAAATAACTTTTAAACGTGACTTTTTACAGTAATGTGTTATATACCAAAATTTAAGGAATCTCAAGGGCTATACAGTTTAAGGTTTTAAGGAAAATCGTTAGAGCCGTTTTTGAGAAAAATAAAAAAAAGTTTTAAAAAATTGTCTTTTGTTCATATTTTTTTAATTATTACATTTACACAAATTGCATATAGAAGGCGTTTATAGCATTTAAAATTACCTTTCAAACGAGATGCAGCACAAGTCTGTAGCTTTAGTAGTATAGAAGTTACGGCTTTCCGATTTTTAGCTATTTATAGCTGTTTTCCCGCTAAACTAGCGAGTTTTTCCAAAAGTGGTAGAACAAAAGTTTTTTATATCGATGTGATGAACGTCATATAAAATTTTCAAAACTTAAAAAACATGTTTTGGACAAACTGACAAACTGACAAACTGACAAACTGACAAACAGAATTAAATTTTCATTTTGGGAAGACGAAGAAAATCTTATTTTGGCTATAACTTTTGAACGGAGCGTCGGATTTTGACAAACGACCCCTCATTCGACGGGTATTTTCAAAAGGAATACAAGTAAAATATTGCGAGGGGGCAATTATCCCCACCGGCCCCAACAGCTCCAAATTTCGAAATTTTCACTTTTTCACTTTCACCGCTCTCTCTCCAAAGCAAATTGATTTTCTTAGAGTCTTGGTATGCAATCCTGTTAGTTTTTGCAATACCTTTCGATAGGTGTATCATTCATTATGATCGGACCATCACAGTAGATTTTCATTTCTTCGTGTATATATAGTAGTCGCCTTCGCACACTCTCCTGGTGCGCTTCGTCACTACATGGACTGCCGTCCATAGTGATGTAGAACGCAGCCATTACGGCCCACGCCTATCAAACAAAAAGGTGAATCAGACAGCGGATGCCGTAAACTATTTCGAAATCAAGTAAGGCGACACTTCAGACACCATTAGGTAAGAACAACAAAGCCCTAGAAGAACCCCCCGGTGGAGAATGACCCATAAAGAATCTCTAAGTATTGCCGATCTTCAGGCGGTCCACAGCAGGCGAACTCTGTAGTTGTGGCTGCTCTACGAATTCAATTATTTTATTTCATTTCAATTTTAATTCAAAGACCAAACAGGGTAGCCCACCCGTGAGCCATAAACAGTGTAAAATATTTTTGAATACTACTAAAAATCTTCCTCATTACTCTATTACAAATTTCTATAAATGTGAAGAATATTTTTGAGTTTATACTTTCAATACTATTAAATCTTAAATCTCTTTACAAGGTCCAATTTTGTTTTGTTGTCAGGGGAATGTTCTATACTAGAGCCTACAATAAATAGCATATGGGACGCTCCATATCAACCCGGCCACCCCCCTTTTTTTTTAATTTTCTATGTGGACAGTACCACATTGATTGCAAAGCCCCTTGCTTCCAATATTTTACCTCATACCCATTTTTTCAATGTTACCACTCTTTCGCCGTATAATCGCGTAAAAAAGAAAACACAAAATCATTTTTATCCTGCGAACGAAAGAAACAATTGGCATGGTTCAAAATCAGAAAAACCTGTCCTTCCATAGCCGGTTACGAGAAAAATAATAGATTTTATTAGACCGTAGATGACCAAGCGATAGCGTTTTTAAAGTCTAAAAGTAGGATTTCGTCCAAAGGGCCAGTCTGCAAAAATACCATTATATTTTTCTCAGAAAGCCCCATATTTAACGGATTTTATGCCACTGATTTCAAAGTGGGATCTCTCTTGAGGAATTAGCTATGAATTCTTTTGTACGTTTTTGTAGTAGTTAACTGTCAGAAAAAGCTAATAAGTAATATAAAATAATCGTATATGCTTTGGAAAAAATTAACAAATCAATGAAAAGAATTCATAGCTAATTCCTCAAGAGAGATCCCACTTTGAAACCAGTGGCATAAAATCCGTTAAAACTCGGGCCTTTTGAGAAAAATATAATGGTATTTTTCCAGACTGGCCCTTTAGACGAAATCCTACTTTTAGACTTTAAAAACGCTATCGTTTGGTCATCTACGGTCTTAAAAAATCTATTATTTTTCTCGTAATCGGCCATCGAAAGACAGATTTTTCTGCTTTTGAACTATGCTGATTGTGCCTTTCGTTCGCAGGTTAAAAATGATTTTGTGTTTTCTTTTCAGCGCGAATATACGGCGAAAGAGTGGTAACATTGAAAAAATGGGTATGAGGTAAAATATTGGAAGCAAGGGGCTTTGCAATCAATGTGGTACTGTCCACATACAAAAAAAATCAAAAAAGGGGGTGGCCGGGTTGATATGGAACGTCCCATATGGCATTGACATTCGAGTTGATCGGCAACTCGTGCTGAGCACGCGTTGTTTTTCACGCTTCGCTTTGTTTTCGGTGGATGGTGGAAATGGGAAAAGGAAAAAGGAAAGGGAAATGGTTTTCAGTTACTATTCGGTTGACAAAAGTCAATGGCAGGAAGTCGGGTCGTCGGCGCAACGTTCGCATATCCGCTGTGCACAGGATGCACTCCCCCGCCATTTGTCCCTTTTTCGCTTTTTCAAGGAAATGCCCGCAAATACACTCGCACAAATAAATGAGGAAATGCGCCAGTTTTAATTACATTCACGAAAATATAGCACCGTTCTGTTCTGTTCTGTCTCTCTTCCCATGCTACTTACTTAGTAGCTGCCACTAAACCGACACACACACGCAACGACTTTCGACTTTAAGTGTGCAAAAGACAAGGAAACGTAAAAAAATCGTAATTTGAAGTTCGTAAAAATGACGCGTTTCCTGTCATTTGGCGAGCACTTTAAGTGCGTAATTTGCTATCCGCCAAATATATGTGATTCTCCGGGTCCCGAGTGTGTGTCTTGTCTGTTTTGTCGGCGGGTGTTTATGCCCCACAATTTCCTCTTTCTCCAGGGTTCCCTTTTCATCTTTCAAGCGGTTTCCGCTTAACGAAACAGATTCTTCTGGGCGGCTCGCGGTTTTTGTGAATTTATCCGGGAGCATGACACGACATATAATTTCACAAAATTAAAGTTAATAGTCTGCTTTCATATTATATATTTTAAAAAATATTTATAGAACAAATTGTAGCTCATCCAAAACTCCTGAACAGTAATAGGATGTGTTTTTCAAATGCTACATTGTTATTTAATATTTAAATAAATAAATCATTTAAAACCACAACTTTATCAGTTAAATAATATTGACTAATCAAAACCGAAGGAAATCCCAAAGTGTAAGCTATGTTTTCACATCCTCTAAAAATGTACTTTCTTGTTTTGTTAATTTGTTGAAATTATATTCCTCTTGGCTAGCATTCAAGGCAATAAACTCGTCCATTCATCGGAGTGCAGCAGACGACAGATGATAATCTGCTGAAATATTGTTAAAAATAAACATTTCTTGGTCGTCTAGCAGTCGGGCAAGCGAACCGGATTCCATTTATGCACATGCTGCTCTTGTCGTTGTTGTTGTGACGTATGTTTGCTGATATTACAAATCATGTAACGCCATCGAGGCAGCGAAAATGCATCGTCTGCCTGACGTCTGCTATTGCCGTCTCAGTCTCGGCCACTGTCCCGCTGTCTAGCCGTCTCTGTCTGCCCCCAAGATCCCCATTCATCATTTCCCCTATGCAGAGAGAGAAATCTCTATAAAAATCTAAAATATGATAACAAGTACTGGGTTGTAAGATACATTCTATTAAATACATTTATGATTTAAAAAACTATCAAGACAAATTAAATTTTGAAATTTTCTAGGAAAAATAGCATTACTTTTTAAGAACATATTTCCGAATTTAGGAATAAACATTTCAACTATGTTTAAATATTAAAAGACCTTCCTTTAACTTTATGTTCTAAAGAAATAATTATTTCATTATTTTAAAGAATAAACCTATATATTAAAAAGTTGTAAACCTTTTTCTCGCAGTGTCTGGCACTGTGGCCCCCAATGTGTGATGGACGGATGTGTGACGACTTTCGGTCTTGTTGTCGCTGATGCGTTTAAAAATATAAGTACTGTGCGGCCAAATGGCGCCAAATGCATTTCGAATCGCTTTGAGTCTTGTCAAACGTGCAGTAGCCAAGTAAATTAAAAGGAAAAGGAACATTGGGGGCCAATGGAAGGAGGGGATGTGAGTGTTCACGCCTCGCACGTGTCACCGCGAAGTGAGGCATTGCAGCCGGGCGGCAGCTTTTTTCGCCAGCTTGGGTCAGCAGGAAGTCCCAGTGTGGCCCCCACTCAATTGCCTGCTACTCATATGGCTTATCAAAAAGAGCGGCATAGTCAGAGGTTTGTCATTTCCCTCTTTGCTTTTCCTTGCAGAACCGGAGCTGAGTCAGCTGGGAAATTAATTAAGCGGGCGAGGCCAGGTGCAGATCGTTCGGTCCTGCAGCTGCAAAGATTACACAGAATACAGAGAGAATGCCTCTCCTGCAACCCTCGACGCCTCTATATCCTTTGCGCATGCGCGCGCATTCGATATGAGCCATAAGCCCGAAGAACAGAAAAGAACAGAACAAACGAGAAACAGGGCAATAACTGGGGTAACCACGAAACCATCCAGCCGAATGCATCTTTATCGACTTGGCCACAAAATTTCTTTTTGCAGCTGCCGTCTTGGCATTTTAAGTGTCGCTTTGTGACTCCACAGAACAAAATAATATGGTATTTTGGGATCAGTAGAGAAGTTTGAGGTGGTCTTTCTTTTGAAACAATAATTATTCTTTGTTCGCCCAAAGTTAAGCTTAATCCTCTAAATTCTAGCCTTGGTAGCTTTATATTAACAGAATTTCCCATTGCATTGGTCAGCCCGACTTAAAGATACTTTTAGATCTGGCTTAAAAACTCTTCGTTAACTTTCAATTTGCTACTACTACTCGGTTTCGTTTTGGCTTAATTATGAATACACAAGTTTGGAGGTCAATTAGCCAGAGTCACATCAAAACAGACAGGCAACTTTTGTCGGTTTGAGTGCAAGACAGCTAGCAACTATAAAAGCCAAGTCAACTTAAACCTTCGAAATGTTTTTCGGTTTTTTTTTCGTTGTGTTATTTAGCTTGGAGTGTTAATGAGGGCCATATACAAAATATGTAAACCGACTTACCTTGATCAAAAAAATGTTAATCCAACAATAGTTTGTCTTGCGAATCGCCGGCGAGGTTGAGTTGTTGGAAAAATTGTTTTGCGTATTTTCAATTTTTCAGCCTTTATTATTTGTTTGGTTTCGGTTGATTTATAAATATGTTTTTAATGGTATTGGCTTTTGGAAATTGCACTCTGCCTTAGCTCTCGCTCTCGAAATGGGTTTGTATCTCTCGGATACGTTTCACAACTTTTGCAGCTAGTAACGTATTTTTCACGCTCTGAACTACTTTTTCTATTTCGCTATGGCTCGGGTTTTGAAAGTTTTTTGTTGCTGCTGCAATTGGCTTCGTTTTTCACTTAACACGAGTTGTAGTTGTGGGGTATTGTTTTGTATTTTTGTTTGTTTTGTTATTTTTTGGGTGGTAAATCCAGTTTGCCAGTTGCAATCGTCTGGCGAACTGCGAAATGTATCTTCGTATCTGGCGGACGAGTGAGTAATGCGCACTGCAAAAGTATCTGAAGCCGAAGGTATCTCTATCTGAGTTCTGTTCACGCGCGCTCCACGTTCTCAAATGATTGCGATCGTGCCCGTGCAGCGGTTTTTGTTGACTGCCCTCTCACTCTCTCCGAGCTCTCTCTCTGCGCAAGCGCACGCTCTCCGATTTCTCCCGGCTTCTCTGTGGTTTCTCTCAGCTCTCTTGGCCAACAGCTGCGGACAAATTTGTAGATCGTATACGACTGAAAAAAATTCAGAAATGAATTTTAGATTGTAAAAGATACAAATACTTAAAGCAAAATAAATAATATTATTGCAAATAAAATATAATACGATTTTTTATAAGCAAGACAATTTAGTTGCGAATATTAAACTAATTTTAAATTTATTATTAAAAATATTATTAAAAAATTAAATTGAAAATAATTTAAATAATAGTCCTATATTAACATATATTTAAATTGTGGTTCCATTTTAAAAATGTATCTTATCTATCTGTATATTATTTTTTTTCAGTGTACCCGCATTTCGGGCAGTTTTTACTGTTGATTGAGTCAACAACCGAGGTCAATGGAAAAGAGGTTTCCGACGTTTGGGACCGGAGGAAACAAAATAAAACACGATCATCCCTTGGCCTACAGAAATGTGGGTTAACTTTGCCTGGCTGCGTGAACTTTTTGTTCAAGGATTAAGGGATTTTAAAACAGACTTTATGGAATTTGTTTTCTTATTTATGGGGAGATTTGAAAAAGAGTGCAGTTTAAAAGAACAGAGACAATGGCCTAGGTTAATCCCTGCATCCAAATGTTCTAAAATTCTCTTTGGGAGCTGATGAAGTATTCAATTCGACATACTATTCTTAGTCTCAGTTTGGTTAAACAGTTTTTTAAAAATTAAAGGAAAGAACAATGTTTTTTAATTTTATAAGAGTTACAGTTTTTTGTCACAAAAATGTCCACAAATGAGTGTAATTTTTTAAATACTTATAAACCATTATGTTTACCCGACAAAATGGAATTTATTAATGGTTAAAAGTTATCAAAATGCTCTTAGTAATCGCCCCAAAATTAAAGTTTTTGATATTAGATATACAAATATCGTGAGCTTAGCATGAGCTTCATAAAAACCCAAGCTAATTTTGATAAATTTTCTTACTTGATTTTTATTGACAGTACTCCGATGACAGTGCTACTCAACGCTTGACTTGTCACCCAATTTATCACCATTTTCATTAACTATTTTCAAAGATTTATCATTTTCCCCTTGCACTTGTGCATTCATTTATTCTGTGACTCACTGAATCATTAATTTCCTTGAACATTCCTAATTATGCAGCCAGCATTGATCGCCGAGTAATTACAGGAAATCCTTTTCCTGCCGCTTACTAAAGAGCATTTCAATGTTTTGCGGCTGACACGCATGCCAAGCAATTTCTGTATATCTCTGGAGATCCTTTTTGGGGATCGGAATCGTAGCATATGGCATATATTCTGTGGGTCAGCCATGTGTCGAGAGCTGTCAAGTGCGTGCTCGAATCCTTTTACTGCTCGCGTGAAGCGGGATCAAGCCGATGATCGAGTTACGCCAGCTTACTTGGAAATTTTATCAGCAGTTGCAGGACCACGCCCCCGCCCACGGGCACGCGTACGCCCTAAATAAGGTGCGGATGGAGGATCAGATGCACTCGAATTGCAGCGCAGATGCTGCACCTCCTCTTTGAAGCGGTGTCCTGTTGCGATCTCAAGTGCATCTAATGGCTTGTTTATCAGCAGTTGTCGATCGCCGGGCAAATAAATTGAGTAGGTACCATTTTCCTTAATTGATTGCGGCGTCGCTCTAATCATTTCTAATTGCGATGCGAAGGACGAACTCAGATAAACACACGGAGAAAAATAAATTCACATTTGTATACATACTAATGCAGAGGAAATTAGAGCATTAGTCCTTAAAGATTATTAAATAATTAATTTATTAAAATCTGGGATTTTAGTTATCCCATTGAGTTGTGTAGACAAAATGTTAAAACTAAAGTAAGTTAATAAGTTTTTATAGTCTTAAAACTATGTGCCTGTAAATCATAAAAATAAAGCAAATTATTAATAAAAAAATTCAATAGGCTATTACTTTTTAAAGTAGAATGATTTTTATATTAAATAATAAGTACATTCGTGTTTTATGAGAATATACATATTCAATTTTAAGAAATCTTCAAGTTTTCCCTTTCTTAAAAAAACCTGATTATCTGTCGAGATATCTACATTATTATTAGATATTTAATCACAAATGTACATATGTATGTATATCCAGAATTATGCAAGGATTTTTCCAGTGCACTTAAGGTTAATCCCCGGCCCATCCTGTCCACATACGAACCCAAGCCCAAGCCAAAACAGCTGCCTTGCATCCAATTGCAACGTTTTTCCCCTGTTGTCTGGCCAGGAATCGGAATTTGAATCTACGCATTAGGGACGGGTATCTCGAAACGATAAGAATCGCCTTGGACAGGATGTGCAATGAAAGTTGCCAAAAAGAAATATTTATACGGTGGAAGGAGAGGATGAAAAGGATGTTTACTTAGGCGCACGTACGTGACTCTGTGAGGTAATTTCTGTGTGTCCGGCTGATAATTGCCCAAAGGAATGCCTGGATATTTGCTTAGCTTTGTTGATTTTCAATTACGTGCCCGGGTCCGGATTGTGTTTGCGCATAAATTGCCGGCAAAGGAAGTTAAACCCCCGAACACGATCAGGCACGATAGTTAATTTACACTTATGTATGTACAATGTACATCTGGCAGCTGTATGGGGATCGAAAACGGGATTGGGTTTGGGAATGGGGAGCGTGTGCCGAGGAAATATATCAAATTCCCAAAAATATCCATCCAATATTCGGGGTGTCGCCAGCTATTTATAGAGATAAGCCACCCCCGAACTAAACGATTTACGAGCCATATATATTTTCGGAAATTTCCTCAGCTCCATCTAGGGCTCCAGTCCACAGTCATTAAAGGTCTACAAAAATATACAGAACATAGATGCAGCGAGTGTAGAATAGGATAGTAATTTTAACGATCGCATAGAGGGATTTCCCCTCCGGATAAATAATCCTACACAGCCTCCAGTTCGTGCTCGGCGTTTTATTGGCACTTTCCCCAGACTATAAATCAATAAACAGATTGTGTGGCATCTTCAGTCATAAAGTTTTCAGCATTTTCTTTCGGAGAATTCTGCCGGCAGGCGTAGCAGCTGTCATGTTTTCCCCGGTTTTACTTGGGTTTTCCCGGTTTTCTCAAGTTTCAAACTGAAATCTTATTACGAAAACGTTCGAATCAATCAGAAGAATAAGAATAAAACCAAATCAAGTAACCGTAAATAAAAAAGCTGGAAAAATAAGACGCGCTCGTAAAGAAACAGGCAGACACAAACATCGCAACGAAAATGCCACACAGTCGGCCAGAAATAATGCACTGGAAATAACTATTATTAAATATATTGCCCCGAATTTCGTTATTTTTTTTAGTTACAGACATTTTTAAGAAATAGTTCGAAAAAATCTATTAAAATTAATCTTAAATTCTTACGTTTTAAAAAAATTTAAATTTCCTTTAAAAATGTCGGAACAACTCATTAAAATTAATCTTGGGTTATTAATCAACTGTATTTAAGTGCTATCTTAAATTAATCATACGTTAAATAAATTATGATAACTTAACAGAGCGCTTTAACTTTAGTAGAGAAAAGTAGGAAAAAAAGACTTTATTATTTCTATGTTGAGCTTTAACCCGCATTTTCTCGAGTGCATAGAAGAGATTCCAAGGCAAGATCTGATGGGTATATCACCGGGAGCTGGGAAACGAGCACCGAACACCGCAGACAATAGGGCAACAAGCCGCAGCCGACTTCCGCTTTCGTTTCATAAATTCGGATTAAGGCATTTTCAAATGATAACAATGAAAGTAAATAAAAAGAACGGCGGTGAAGAAATGCGCCGTGAATCTGATTAACGGCAACAACACCACTGTCGACAATGGGAACTTACAAAACGTGTCACGTAAATGGTTTGTGGTCCAACCCACCGGGCAGTAAACTAACGAAAAACCCACAATAACATGCCCCAGAACAATCCACGCATAGAACAGCAATAAACAGCAGAAAACTGGTGAGGAAAGCTCAGCGGATTGTCTCCGAAGGGAAATCTCTAATGAGGCGACGGTTCATTGTTAGTTAAACCACTTACACAGATCCAATCCGATCACTATTGTAGGCGGATAGCCTCGACGGGAAGTAGGATGTACTTATGTTCGTAGGTAGGGAAGCTATCAAGGTCTTAGGGAAGTATTAACCTACGGAAAGGTTAAACTAGATAAATACTTATAATTGACTAGATACTTAATTGAGATTTATATTAGCACTTAATCATAATAATGTATTAGTAGGTAGTAGAAAATTTGGAAATAAAATTATAACTAACATTTATTGTATGATTTATATTATATTTTCAATTTTAACTGAATATCTGAGAAATCCTTTTGTTAAATAAAAAGAAAAATTAGATTAGCTTTAAAAATAACCTTTAATCAAGTTAGTAATTTAAAAGTAACTTTGTTGATAGATACATAAATAAATATTAAAAATCTAGACCAACACACACTATGCCAAACGAAATTGTAATCTAAAGAGAACTAACGGATTCAGTTTGCCAAAGACAAACAGAACAATGGAAGGATAGCAATCGACAACTCATAAATACGTGCATCCGCTGAATGAATGGCTCGGCGCATTTGCCAAATATTTGAGCCTAGACAATTGCATTTCCTGCCCAAATGCCTGATGTCCCGCATCCCGTTCGCCAAACAACACATGGGATTAGGTCGGTCCTCCTGCAGGAGCTCGAAACCTGGAATCATCTGTTGCTCGAAGTCGAGAGTGAGGGGCAGAGAAGAAATTAAGGCTTCTCCTGAGCGGAAACGGGAATCGAGCAGGGAAGGCGCGTTCTCTGTACACAAAACAGGAGCTGGGGAAGGGAAGGGCGGAGAAGGACGTGGAACGCAGGGAATTGTAAAAACAAATGTTGTCAAACAACAATAACAAGGAAAAGGATGTCCTGCTGAGCGAGGAAAAGTGCGTAGAATGCGATGCGTTGCAATTAACATTTATACACTGTGATCAACCATATCGTAGCTTTGTATGTTATATGTTATGAAAATAAAAGAGTCAACCGAAATTTGTAATTCGAGCCAAGTACAGTAACAAATGTTCAAAAGATATTTTAAATCGAATACGAAAAACAATCTGCATGTCCTGGAAAATGAGCCCAAGAATATAAAAAAGTGTTTCAGAAATCGAAAATATTATGGGATCTGTATTTTAGGATGAGGATATCTTAAGATAAGTATAAGCTAATATGGTTTATACAAACTAGGTCACTAATAATTTTGTTTACATTTTCACAGTCTTTCCACCTGGAAAATAATTTGCTTAAAATTTAAAAGACCTTGGGAGATCGAATCATAAGTAAGGCTTGCTTTATAAAAAATACACATTTTATTTACTTCTATTCTTTTTAATTATTTGAAAAGAGGGCACCACAAAATATCGCACAGATCATTCGGAAGATCATCTTAAATATTTTCTTACTGGTTCGTTTTCTTTAGAGTGTACCCATCCCGACATCCTCTCCGCAGGACATGTGGCAAGGCAAACGCAGCGGGGAAACCAAATTAGTTTCTCATTTCGGGGCAGTGTGAAATGCAGCGCAGGAAGCTGGTGCAGCAGGCTCAATTTGATTCTGGACCCATTGTCCGTTCACGTCCCGCTCAGGTATTCAGTATTCTACTCCCAAAATATTGCCGGTGATTAGTGACTTTTGGTCGGTGGCGATGAGGAAACGCCTGCGGCGTTAATTGTTTGTCCCGGTTCATTGCTGTCCACGTCTTTTGATTTGCACCGCCCTAAGCGGTTAATCTGGGCCACAGGAAGCGGAAGCGACAGTGCCAACGACGGACGGACGGACGGAAGGAAGGAAGACGGAAGCCGGAAGATCCGGAAATTATTTGGAAATTTGCTGGATTGTTGCAAACGAGAGAAACATATAAATAAACGGATTATCATACAGGCAGGGTTTTGAATTCGAGGACAGATAAATATTTAATGCACCACAAAACTAATAAATATTTCAAAAACTTGTAACCCATCCTGTAAAATTAAAATTAATAAAGATCTTAATATACAAGTTGGAGTAGGATTATAATACGTTTTATAAGAAAAACTAAGAATTTTGGGGTTGAATATTGACTGGTTTATTGCACATGATAAATACTGAAAGGGATACTTGCGAATTTGGAAAACTAAAACCATAAACCACTAAGCGCCAATGGAAACTTATGCATTATATGGATCGAAGGAAACCCTGGTGGGTCTTCGATACTGTATAATGCATAACTCTCGGAGACGCGTTCCGAAAATCAGAGCCACTTCTTGGCGGGCGTTCGACAGTCGGGACTGCTACTTTTCTTGCGACACGGAAATTCGGGAAGATCCTTCGCCTCGGCCATGTCCACGTAGGGCTTCTGGTGCAAAGTTACGCCGGCGGCAGTGCGAACGAGACTTCGTCGGCAATTCGTGCCTGCCAGGAGGTAATTTACGGGAAACTTTAGCATTCCGGGACGATAGTGGGCGATGGGACTGAGCCCTAAAAGGGTGTTCTTGCCACCGCCTGTGTTTCGATTCTTGCCACCGCCTAAATTTCTATCCTTTCCTCCTCCACAGCCAGCACATCCTGGGGCACCACTGACGCCGCCGGTATTCGTGCCACCGGGACAGTCCGTCGAGCCACCCACCTCCTGCCACTGGCGACCTTCACCCTGGTTGCACTGTTGACAGCGTGCATGCCGCTGTTGGGGTCGATTTTTCTTACCGGCTGCCCTGCTGCGACTTCGTCCATCGCCACCTCCGGATTTGGAGCAGGCTCCCCGGCAAATGGACTTGCAGCCTTTGTCGCAGTCATGGGGTTTCCGCGAACAAATCCCCTGGCAGTCGTTCTTGCAGCGATGTTCCTCGCAGTTGGGCAGAAAGAAGTTAGGCTTTTCATTTCGATTCGAGACTTCCTTGTAGCGGGATCCCACATTGGCTACATCGACGCTGGAAATCATCGAGGAGTCCTTGGAGATGGGATTTAGGGATGGGAGACTGGACTCGGTACTCATTTTCGCTCTGCTGCTCTTGGTGGTTCCCAAAAGGTCATTTGGCGGTCTATTCTGGGAAACGGGAGTGGCTAACGCAGTGAGTCTAGCTCTACTGCTTTTTGAGGTCCCCCAAAGGCTATCTAACTTTACATTTGTGCTCTTGCGATCTGCACTCCTATTTCTTCTAACGCGCTTTTTCTGGTTTTTACCCTTTTGTTCTATTCTTTGATGCTGCTCCTGATCCTGGTCCTTTTCCTGCTTGCATTGATTGCTACTGATGAAGATCTCAAGTGCCTGGGCAATTAGCTGGGCCAGCTTATCCTTGGTGTCGCCACCTTTGCAGCATTTGCAGTTGCAGTTGCTACTATTGGAATGTTCATTATTCATTGGCGATAGATTCTCTTCGTAGGTCTGATCTCTTCGCCAGGGATCCTCTTTTGGATAGAGATCATTTTTGGCGGGACAGTCGTAGCTGTTGCATGAGCTGGAATGGGGATATCTTTCCTCTTCGTAGCCTAGAAAAAAGAGCTAGAATAAATTATAAATAAATATATATCTACATACTATCCCTACCAAAATAGGGATCCACTGGCCAAGGACCCGTGTCATATCCATAGTCGTACCTCTCCTCCCTTTCGTTTTCGTATCCATAACCTTTGCGATTCAGATCCAGGTATTCGTAGTCCAGATATCCAGTTAGTGGATTGTTCTGAAAGTTATGCGGTTGGTTGGAATAGCTGTTTCGGTAGTTGTTGTTTTGAGTTGGCGTATGCATTTGACCTCCACCGCGATTGATTGCCGTTGTTAATTGGTCGATTAGCGCATGATTATTGCAATCTTGCAGGACAATGATATTGAAGGGTTGGTCACCCAGTTGCTGTTGCTGTTGTTGGGCGTCATATGGATTTCCGTTTAGCTGTTGCCAGTGTCCGGGAGGAGGCTGTTGTGCTTGTGCCCTTGTCTGTGCCTGATCCTGTCGGTAAGGACATGGTTGACCTGTCCCCTGTTGACATTGTCCCTGGCACTGAACATAGTAATTACCCACGGCTGCCTGGATCTTTTCATTGCAATTCGGGCACATACTCTGACCCGGCTGACGGATCTCCTCTTGTCCGCAAAGCTGGCAAATGGGACAGTTGCCACCCATTCTGCGATAGGATAAGGCATGGTCAAGTGAAGTTTTGGTCCTGGGTGTCACCGCTTCTGGAAAGCTCTCCTGGGACTGTACTTGTGACTTCTCATGATCCGAAATATCGCACTGACCGTCGCATTGGGTTCCCCTCTTTGGGCACTCGCAACCCTTGTTGCACGGCTGCACCGTATAGTCCTGACACCTATCGCAGTTCTTCAGGACGAACATATTCTCCGGGGCATTCTGGCTGCCAGGACACGATTTTTGTGTAACTACTGGACGTGGCTTTGGGCACACATCGTTGTGACTATCCTGCGAAAATTCCGTTTGGCTCTCGCGACCCGCTCCATTTCTTTTCTGCTGCTCTGATCTCCGGCAGTGGTTCATAATTTTTTTGTTAAAAAAATGTTTCATTTTTAAAAAAGTTTCGATTTAAACTTGTGACTCGTGGCCTATGTGTTGGCTTCTATTGTCTTGGCGGGATTACTCTTGGCAGCTGAACGCTTCTTGTTGCGTCCAAAAATCTGGCGCCAACTCCAGGTTCCCAAATGGTCGTTACCCTTGACGAAGGGATCACCGAAGACCCAGGCTTGCAGTTGACTTAATCTAGTATACTTTAGGGGTAAACCCATTCCGGCAACTTTTCGCGGTTTAGGCATATCCACGATCTTTTCCCCTCGTTGGTGAATGGGACTCAGGCGATTCTCGGAAGAGTCCCTCGAGCAACGCACTCTAAGGAAACTACCTCTGTAAAAGGGATTCACCTCGGTGCCCAAGTAGGAAGCTCCCCGACGAATGGGCTCCGACGATACCTCCGGTTCCATTGAGGCGGGAGCTAGGTAAGCAGGTGGTATTTCTGGGGGATCAGGTCTAGATCTATTCGATGGAGCTGGTTCATGTTGAGTTCGATGGGAAGTTGATGGTTCTGGTTCAGATCTATGAGAATACGAGTGCGAGGTGCCTCTATAAGTCTCACGGTGTCCTGAGGAACTGTGGATCTCTATAATGGGAGATACTGCTCTAGTCCTAGGATTCACTTCCCTTTCGATCTGTCTTTTTTCAGTCTTTTGCACCAAGTTGGCAGAAGGTGAACGCATTTTAAATTGTGGTGTAGCTGCTGGTCTTTCCCGCTGCTGGCCAGAAGTTGATGGACTAGACCGTTCTTGGTCAGAATGGGATGGGCCTGATCTACTCTGGCTTCTTGTTTGTCCCGTTGGCTGTGAATGACTGCGCTCATTTTGAGCTGGGGAAAAATATTGATGTAAAAAAGGATTTATCAATGCCTTGAATAAACTAACCCTGTCTGTGGCTCGACATCCGTGATGGCGCCACCGGGTTTCCTCCGATCATCGCCGCCTTAGCTCTTCGTTTCAGACTCGTTGCAATAGTGCTCGTCATGTAGTGAGAGTTCCGGCCTCCCTGGCAACGCTTCTTACAGCAAATGGTCAACTCGTATCTAGCCTTGGGCACTTTCCTAGGTCGACATCGTCCCAGTGTCTTGTATAAAATCCGATTGCTCTATTTGAAAAAAAAGGAGTGTAACGAGAGGTCAAAACAAGGTATCTGATCTGATGATCAAGTGTTTATAATATTCCACACAACATGAAAATTAATTAAATGTTTTTAAAAGTACAAAGGGATATGTAAAGATATCAACCAATAATTTTCTTACACTGGCAACGTCCGGAATGGAAATATTCGGCATCATGGGTAGTAATCCGCACATGGGGCAGCATTTCCGTGCCACCGATGAGACATATCTCTTGGCAGAGGCATTTTTCTGCTTTTGGGGCATCACCTTGTTACATTTCGGGCAAAGTTTTCGACACGAGGCACATTTCCCATTCTCTGGGCAATTGAAGCGATAGCTCTGCACTGGTTTTTCCATCAGAGTTTCGTTGGAACAGAGGGGTGGACCTTTGCGGACGCTACTCCGATTTTCCGGGTTGGTTTTTCTGCAGCTTGAGCATCGTGTTCTGCGCTGGACTGGATACTCTTCGCTATAGCTATCGTAGCTGGATCGTGATTGAACCAAAGGATTCCTAAGAACCTCAGTCCGGGAACGACTGCCCTCGACATAATCGGAGGGTTCACCGCTTTCGTCATCGGAACAGCGATTGCAGGCACTACACTTTCTTCGATTGCCTCTTTTTGAGGAAATCGCTGACTTAGTTCTGGGCGTCGGTTTCTTACTTGTGGGTGGGGGCGTGGCAGCTGGACATCTTCGTTTTGGGGCGGGTGGAGGAGGAGTAGTTTCCTGAACGACGTGGGAACGAGCATGGCAACGTACCGAACAAGTTTGAGCCGCCTGAGTGGGTTTCCTCATATAATAGCTCTTATCTGGCGGGCTTCTTCTCTGAACCGACTGCCTTTTTGGCGACGATCCTGCCGCACAGCTGCATTCGGAAGACCTTCTCTGCAAGCGATTATTCCTCTGAACTGGCTGCTTCCCTTCCGAAGATTCAGATTCACAGCTACATTCGGAAACCTTCTTTTGTAAACGACTAGTTCTCTGAACTTGACGTCTTTGCGGTGATCCACGCTCACATCCGCATTCGGAAACCTTTCTCTGCAACCGATTGGACCTCTGAGTTTCTTGGGGATAATCATCATATTGGGTTCTGTCTAAGGCAGGATTTTTTCTGGGACTTTGCTGAAACTCCCTGTACTCCATATAGTGAGAAGAGGGTGTCCTATAAGCTCTTCTGCACGTAGGTGGATCGCAACCGCAGTCACTCCCACTCCGATCCTTTGACTGAGATTGCGTTCTACCCGGTGGCACATAACATTGGTTACCTGGTGATGCATAATCTTGGTGGGGCTGACTATTGTCATAATATCCATTCTGATTCTGTGCGGGTACAGAACGCTGATAGTTCTGATTGGCGGGCTGTTGGTAATTGTTCTGACCCTGATAATTTCGATATGGACAACTGGGAACGCATTCTCCCTGATCCTGATCTGGAATCTCACCACTCCGCACGACTAGCGGATTGCGAAGTATATTGTAATCACAATCACCGCCAGAAACCCTTTTTATTCTTTCCGGAATTAGGGTCAAGCCAACAAAATGAGATCCAAAGCCTGTAAACGAAACACTTTCTTTAAGTTTAGCTCCTCCACTTTGCTTCAAAGAAATCTCGTTGCTGTCGGTGCTTGTGCTCAATCCTTTGGTATCATTTTGGATGGTCAGGTATTTCCTCGAAAATTGTAAGTTTGGATTAGCCATCGATCTCTTGGTTTCGTCACCCTTCAGTTAAAACACTACTGAATACATTAAATTTGGCCAAATTTTTAAAAGAACAAACTCATGTATACCCCGACATATTTAATGTGTGTATATGACATAAAAATCGTAGTGGAAAATTCAAGCCAAAAGCAGTCATTTATTTAAGGTTGCAAAGAATTCTCAGACCAACGACGAAATATTAAGCACAGCTTTGTTCCGCAATGAAGTAGATATCATTAGAGGAGAAAAGCTGTGCCTTGTTGATCGTCGATGGTCTGAAATTGGTTTGTCATTTAACAAAATATTTTATCTCTATATCTTCAGGTTCGGTTAGCTTTCTATAAAGTCAGCATGCGGCTATATGCCTTATTCAGAGTTCTAGCGGTCATCGGAAGATCCTGCCACAATCTCCAGCTGCGTTTCTCGTCAAGTGCCGAGCTGAGGGATCTCTGGCTTCGCAACTTTGCCGCCTGTTTGGTTGAAGATCGGGAACGAACACGAGATGGGTTGCGAGTACGATTCGAACGACCTTGGGAATTGGAGTAATCAGGCTTGGGCCAGTGGAGGGGTCTTCTCATTGGCAGCTGAGTCTGGGTGCTGGGGTAAGGAATGGAAAGTTCACGCAGGCGGGGATTCAATCTCTTCCTCGATCGTCTACGGCGACCTTGCCTAGGGAAAATACAAATATGGAGTACATTTAAATAAAATAAATCCACGGAGAATGGTATATCACGCCCCACTCGGGTAAAAATGAAAGGAATTTTGGTAATCAAAAAGTATGCAACAAAAAAATGGTTCTGATATCACCCCTCACAACAATGTCCTGGATCCGCCACTGGTATATTCAGAACCAAAATATTTAGAAGCATACTTTTAGACACCTTAATTTTAAAATTTCTACAGATTTCTAATCTGATTTGTTCTTTTAACTAACTTGGGATGTTCTGCTTGATAGACATCATCACAGAGCTTGGCGAACTGGTCTTCTCCATGAATCCCTTCATTGCTCGCCAACTTTGGATCACTGCTTGAATGCTCAACTTTTGCTTTCACGGAAGTCCTGTCTTCGTCCTCCTCATCAGAGGTAACCATTAAATACACGGAGTACTGCTTCTGAAGACCATCGACACCGGATCCGGCACTCAAACGACTGCTCTGCTGCTCCTTATCTGACTTACCAGTTTCCTTAGCCTCACACATGTGGGCAACCAGTTGCATTAGCGAGTGCCACATGGGATTTCCATCCAGTCCCTTGACCTTTTCATTTCTCAACAGCTCATTGATGTTTAGTTTTCTAGATCCCTTACTTGTCGCTGAGGTCGCAGATTCAGCTTTCTGAGGTCCAGGTTTTAAAAGATGATCATCGAAAGGGTCTATCTTAGTGTTTGTGGCCTTGTCGGTCAGAGAAGTGCGACTTTGATATTGAGTTTTTGACCGACTCTGTTCTGCGGTTAGGGTTACTGTACTGCTATCGTTTTCCGACTCAAGTTTTCTGGCCTGACGATCAAGGAAGCGCCTCGAAGACGTCTTACCCTCTCTATTGGATACCTCCGATTTTTCTGGTTTGGCTTGGGGCTCCTTTATAGATTCCTGCTTGCTTTCTTTATAAGAAAAGCCCTTGGACTTGGAGCTTTTTAATTGCTGTAAGTTTTGTTGCTTCTTTGGTTTTATTTCTGAATTCGCAGCCGTATACATGGAAGTTTCTGTATCAGAATCCCTGCTACAGCCTTCTATAAAGTGGTTGGCAAGTTTCCCAAAATTGAAGCTCTTACTTTGATCTAGTTGCTGTTGCTTTCTTAAATCCTTTTGGTGCTGCAAAAGCTGTTGCTGCTGTAGATCTTTTTTAAGCTGTAGCTTCTGTTGATCTTTTTGGTTTTGTACGGACTGATGCTGTTTGAGAAGCTCATGTTGCAGTTGCAATTGCTGCAGTTGCTGTCGTTCTTTCTTCAGTGTATTTTGCTTGACTTTCCTACTTGGCTTGGGCGGAACAGCGGGCTTGAGTTTTATTTGCTCCACTATAGGTTCTTGGTATCCGGAACGTGTAGCAGCTGTGCTTTTGATCGTCACTCTTTTTGTTTTTGAGGCACTTGAGGTCTGATAATCTCCTCCGAAATGTTGGGCAACCCCAACTCTTGAAGAGTTCTTCAAAATACCGACAGGTACTGCCTTCTGTTGTTGCTGCAGTAGAAATTGCTTGTGTTGCTGCTGCACTTGATACTGCTGCTGTTGCCATTGCATTGGACTTACGGCTCCAGGATAATCGAAAAGGTTTCCCTGAGTGAAATGTTGCTGCGGTGGATGCGTGGGTGCAACTCCAACTGCTGCTGCTGGTAAATTTCTGAAGCACTGGTTTTGACAGGCAGCTAGAATGCAACCTGGTTTCAAAAGAGCTGCCTTGGAAACGCTTTGACTCGGGTAGGATCTATTTTCTGTGCTCTGATAGCCTCTTTGAAATTGCACTTGCGGATGCTGCTGGAGACCATAATTGGGGATGAAGCTGTGCATCGCAACGGTTTCACTGGGCGCCCTCATTAGCTGACGACGCAGACGACTCAATTTCCGGCTGCTCACTTCCGGCGGAGCAATTACCGCCATTCGGGGCATGGCGCCACCCATTCTGTTGCACACGGAATGCCAATATTCCGGCATCGAGGCAACCAACGCCCCTCGGGCCAATTCCTGTTGCTGCCACAACTGCTGATAGGCGTTCATCGAAGCCTGCTTGGCCGAGTTCGTCAGAACCCTTCTCCGAACCATTATGAAATCTATGGTATTATATTATTTCGCCGGAGGTAATCTTATAGGACAGCGGACTCTGAATGTTTGTGCTGACTTGCTTTGCTGTTGGATAATTTTTTTATCGGGCTTATCTGGGGCTTGTGGGTTCATTGAAAATTTTGGGTGCACCTTTTGTGCCATATTTGTTATGGGAAAAGCCTTGACAAGGAAATCTGAGCTTGCCTGGGGAGTTATTTATGTAAGAACATGTGCCATGTTCCATGTTCCATGTGCCATGTTCCATGTGCCATGTTCCATGTGCCATGTTCCATGTGCCATGTTCCATGTGCCATGTGCCATGTTCCATGTGCCATGTTCCATGTGCCATGTTCCATGTGCCATGTGCCATGTGCCATGTGCCATGTGCCATGTGCCATGTGTGCCATGTGTGCCATGTGTGCCATGTGTGCCATGTGTGCCATGTGTGCCATGTGTGCCATGTGTGCGATGTGTGCCATGTGTGCCATGTGTGCCATGTGTGCCATGTGTGCCATGTGTGCCATGTGTGCCATGTGTGCCATGTGTGCCATGTGTGCCATGTGTGCCATGTGTGCCATGTGTGCCATGTGTGCCATGTGTGCCATGTGTGCCATGTGTGCCATGTGTGCCATGTGTGCCATGTGTGCCATGTGTGCCATGTGTGCCATGTGTGCCATGTGTGCCATGTGTGCCATGTGTGCCATGTGTGCCATGTGTGCCATGTGTGCCATGTGTGCCATGTGTGCCATGTGTGCCATGTGTGCCATGTGTGCCATGTGTGCCATGTGTGCCATGTGTGCCATGTGTGCCATGTGTGCCATGTGTGCCATGTGTGCCATGTGTGCCATGTGTGCCATGTGTGCCATGTGCCATGTGTGCCATGTGTGCCATGTGTGCCATGTGTGCCATGTGTGCCATGTGTGCCATGTGTGTGCCATGTGTGCCATGTGTGCCATGTGTGCCATGTGTGCCATGTGTGCCATGTGTGCCATGTGTGCCATGTGTGCCATGTGTGCCATGTGTGCCATGTGTGCCATGTGTGCCATGTGTGCCATGTGTGCCATGTGTGCCATGTGTGCCATGTGTGCCATGTGTGCCATGTGTGCCATGTGTGCCATGTGTGCCATGTGTGCCATGTGTGCCATGTGTGCCATGTGTGCCATGTGTGCCATGTGTGCCATGTGTGCCATGTGTGCCATGTGTGCCATGTGTGCCATGTGTGCCATGTGTGCCATGTGTGCCATGTGTGCCATGTGTGCCATGTGTGCCATGTGTGCCATGTGTGCCATGTGTGCCATGTGTGCCATGTGTGCCATGTGTGCCATGTGTGCCATGTGTGCCATGTGTGCCATGTGTGCCATGTGTGCCATGTGTGCCATGTGTGCCATGTGTGCCATGTGTGCCATGTGTGCCATGTGTGCCATGTGTGCCATGTGTGCCATGTGTGCCATGTGTGCCATGTGTGCCATGTGTGCCATGTGTGCCATGTGTGCCATGTGTGCCATGTGTGCCATGTGTGCCATGTGTGCCATGTGTGCCATGTGTGCCATGTGTGCCATGTGTGCCATGTGTGCCATGTGTGCCATGTGTGCCATGTGTGCCATGTGTGCCATGTGTGCCATGTGTGCCATGTGTGCCATGTGTGCCATGTGTGCCATGTGTGCCATGTGTGCCATGTGTGCCATGTGTGCCATGTGTGCCATGTGTGCCATGTGTGCCATGTGTGCCATGTGTGCCATGTGTGCCATGTGTGCCATGTGTGCCATGTGTGCCATGTGTGCCATGTGTGCCATGTGTGCCATGTGTGCCATGTGTGCCATGTGTGCCATGTGTGCCATGTGTGCCATGTGTGCCATGTGTGCCATGTGTGCCATGTGTGCCATGTGTGCCATGTGTGCCATGTGTGCCATGTGTGCCATGTGTGCCATGTGTGCCATGTGTGCCATGTGTGCCATGTGTGCCATGTGTGCCATGTGTGCCATGTGATTGCCATGTGTGCCATGTGTGCCATGTGTGCCATGTGTGCCATGTGTGCCATGTGTGCCATGTGTGCCATGTGTGCCATGTGTGCCATGTGTGCCATGTGTGCCATGTGTGCCATGTGTGCCATGTGTGCCATGTGTGCCATGTGTGCCATGTGTGCCATGTGTGCCATGTGTGCCATGTGTGCCATGTGTGCCATGTGTGCCATGTGTGCCATGTGTGCCATGTGTGCCATGTGCCATGTTCCACGTTCCATGTTCCATGTTCCATGTGCCATGTGCCATGTTCCATGTTCCATGTGCCATGTGCCATGTGCCATGTGCCATGTGCCATGTGCCATGTGCCATGTGCCATGTGCCATGTTCCATGTTCCATGTTCCATGTTCCATGTTCCATGTTCCATGTTCCATGTTCCATGTTCCATGTTCCATGTTAAATGTTCAATGTTCCATGTTCAATGTTCCATGTTCCATGTTCCATGTTCCATGTTCCATGTGCCGTGTTCCGAGTTCCATGTTCCATGTTCCATGTTCAATGTTCCATGTTCCATGTGCCATGTGCCATGTGCCATGTGCCATGTGCCATGTGCCATGTGCCATGTGCCATGTGCCATGTGCCATGTTCCATGTGCCATGTTCCACGTTCCATGTTCCATGTTCCATGTTCCATGTGCCATGTGCCATGTTCCATGTGCCATGTTCCATGTTCCATGTTCCATGTTCCATGTTCCATGTTAAATGTTCAATGTTCCATGTTCAATGTTCCATGTTCCATGTTCCATGTTCCATGTTCCATGTTCCATGTTCCATGTGCCATGTTCCGAGTTCCATGTTCCATGTTCCATGTTCCATGTTCCATGTTCCATGTTCCATGTTCCATGTTCCATGTTCCATGTTCCATGTTCCATGTTCCATGTGCCATGTGCCATGTTCCATGTTCCATGTTCCATGTTAAATGTTCAATGTTCCATGTTCAATGTTCCATGTTCCATGTTCCATGTTCCATGTTCCATGTGCCATGTTTCGAGTTCCATGTTCCATGTTCCATGTTCCATGTTCCATGTTCCATGTGCCATGTGCCATGTGCCATGTGCCATGTGCCATGTGCCATGTGCCATGTGCCATGTTCCATGTTCCATGTTCCATGTTCCATGTTCCATGTTCCATGTTCCATGTTCCATGTTCCATGTTCCATGTTAAATGTTCAATGTTCCATGTTCAATGTTCCATGTTCCATGTTCCATGTTCCATGTTCCATGTGCCGTGTTCCGAGTTCCATGTTCCATGTTCCATGTTCAATGTTCCATGTTCCATGTGCCATGTGCCATGTGCCATGTGCCATGTGCCATGTGCCATGTGCCATGTGCCATGTGCCATGTGCCATGTGCCATGTGCCATGTGCCATGTTCCATGTTCCATGTTCCATGTTCCATGTTCCATGTTCCATGTTCCATGTTCCATGTTCCATGTTCCATGTTAAATGTTCAATGTTCCATGTTCAATGTTCCATGTTCCATGTTCCATGTTCCATGTTCCATGTGCCGTGTTCCGAGTTCCATGTTCCATGTTCCATGTTCAATGTTCCATGTTCCATGTGCCATGTGCCATGTGCCATGTGCCATGTGCCATGTGCCATGTGCCATGTGCCATGTGCCATGTGCCATGTTCCATGTGCCATGTTCCATGTTCCATGTTCCATGTTCCATGTTCCATGTGCCATGTGCCATGTTCCATGTGCCATGTTCCATGTTCCATGTTCCATGTTCCATGTTCCATGTTAAATGTTCAATGTTCCATGTTCAATGTTCCATGTTCCATGTTCCATGTTCCATGTTCCATGTTCCATGTTCCATGTGCCATGTTCCGAGTTCCATGTTCCATGTTCCATGTTCCATGTTCCATGTTCCATGTTCCATGTTCCATGTTCCATGTTCCATGTTCCATGTTCCATGTGCCATGTGCCATGTTCCATGTTCCATGTTCCATGTTAAATGTTCAATGTTCCATGTTCAATGTTCCATGTTCCATGTTCCATGTTCCATGTTCCATGTGCCATGTTTCGAGTTCCATGTTCCATGTTCCATGTTCCATGTTCCATGTTCCATGTTCCATGTTCCATGTTCCATGTTCCATGTGCCATGTGCCATGTGCCATGTTCCATGTGCCATGTTCCATGTGCCATGTGCCATGTTCCATGTGCCATGTGCCATGTGCCATGTTCCATGTTCCATGTGCCATGTGCCATTTTCCATGTTCCATGTGCTATGTGCCATGTTCCATGTGCCATGTGCCATTTTCCATGTTCCATGTGCCATGTTCCATGTGCCATGTGCCATGTTCCATGTGCCATGTGCCATGTTCCATGTGCCATGTTCCATGTTCCATGTGCCATGTTCCATGTGCCATGTGCCATGTGCCATGTGCCATGTGCCATGTGCCATGTGCCATGTGCCATGTGCCATGTGCCATGTGCCATGTGCCATGTGCCATGTGCCATGTTCCATGTGCCATGTTCCATGTGCCATGTTCCATGTTCCATGTTCCATGTTCCATGTTCCATGTGCCATGTTCCATGTTCCATGTTCCATGTTCCATGTGCCATGTGCCATGTGCCATGTGCCATGTGCCATGTGCCATGTGCCATGTTCCATGTGCCATGTTCCATGTTCCATGTTCCATGTTCCATGTTCCATGTTCCATGTGCCATGTTCCATGTGCCATGTTCCATGTTCCATGTTCCATGTTCCATGTGCCATGTTCCATGTTCCATGTGCCATGTGCCATGTTCCATGTGCCATGTGCCATGTGCCATGTGCCATGTTCCATGTGCCATGTGCCATGTGCCATGTTCCATGTTCCATGTTCCATGTGCCATGTGCCATGTTCCATGTGCCATGTGCCATGTTCCATGTGCCATGTTCCATGTGCCATGTTCCATGTTCCATGTTCCATGTGCCATGTTCCATGTTCCATGTGCCATGTTCCATGTGCCATGTGCCATGTTCCATGTGCCATGTG